ATTGTGTGGTGTTGTGGATTCTCTGCCTGTCATGGACTCTTGTATCATGTTTTGAGTTTAACAGGTGCTCGAAAATGTGCTTCAAATAACGTCTCCCGTGCGAATAGGGCGAAAGTGTGTAAGGGGAGACGGGAATTCGTTCCCAATTTCCACCTACTACCTCCAGCCCCCTTACATGTCTTTCCCCCGCATGAGGCTCGAGACACCCGCTCCTGGCATGGCCGGTAAGAGCAGGTTGGGACCCTTGAAAAGAAAAGAAAAGAAAAATAACAGAAAACAAGCAAAATAGAAAAAAAGGGGGTTCCAACAATCTTCAAGAATAAAATAGAGCACCTTGAAAAATGTGAGTCCATGATCTTTTGTTTTTGAGAATCTCTTCATCCACAATTCATTTGTCCTCTGTTCACTATTTGCCGTGATGCCGACTCGCCGAAGAAGTTATGAGATGACTTGTGCGTCGGTTGACCTCGTAAGTTGCTAAATGATCTAGGAAGTCCTCTACCTACGATCTGGGTTGTTTGTTTCTATAGAGGTCTGGAGAGTTGCATTGGTTTGAGTTAGGTTTGCTTGGGGACAAGCAAACGGTTAAGTGTGGGGGAGTTTGATAGACCGTCATTTACACATGTTTTTACCCCCATTCTTACACCGTTTGAGGTGTTGATTCTCGTGTTTTAGGCCGATTTCACGCTAGGTTGTGCTTGTTTTTGATGTTTCAGGTCCTAGTACGTGAATGAAGGCTTAGGAGCGAGTCTGGGGTCGATTGGACGAAGAACGGACGAATGGCGAGGTTTTTGGGGAGCTGCACGGGCAGACCAGGGAGGCTGCACGGCCGTGCACGTGAGCAATATGGCCGTGCGCCTTATGCCGAGGACACGCACGGGCAACCCCTGAAGCTCGCACGGCCGTGCACCCTGGCCGTGCGAGAGGGCTGAAGTTTGACTAAATGACACGCTGCGTTTTGAGTTGCACGGCCAGAATGGTGATATGCACGGCCGTGCACCCTGGCCGTGCGAGTCGGGATTTCCTGGTTTTAAGCCAAATTCCGAACCAAAGAGTAGGGAGAGCTGGGTTTTGGATCCCAAAAACACCCAAGGGACGAACCCTAGAGAGAGAGAGCGACTTGGGAACATTCTTGGAGCTATTTTGGAGGATTTCTTCGCCATTGGAGCTCGGGAATCAAGCTTGGAGATGGAGATTGAAGATCTAGATCAGATTTCTGCAGTCTCTCTCTTCTCTATGGAGTAACTTCCCTTCACTTAGGTTTTGAGGAACCCTAGTTCCATGAGTTAGGATCTTTCTTGTATGAAGTTTTGGATGCTATATTGTTTGATTATAATCGAATGATGCATGTTTATTGAGTCAATTGAAGTCTGATCAACTTTTCCTGATTCCTGCTGCAATCTGAGATAGATAGAATCTGATTAGGTTGCTAGAGTCTCATCATTCGATAGTAGGAGACTGGTTATACGAGAGTTAGCCAGTTTACTGCTTTGCACTGGAATCCAATTCCAGTAGTGGATTTCTGTGCTTATTGCTTCAGCTTTCTAACCCGGTGAAGACTAGTCGTCTGCCGGATAGTTAGACTGAGAGGGCTTGGTCAGCTTAAGAGATTCCAAGCTACTGTCGGATCTTCCGCAGTTTAATCAACAGTAAATCAACCAAACTGAATTACAACTTGAACCTAATTGAGGAGCTAGGGGGAATCATACCTAAGTGAGTTCCCAAACTGTAATTAGTAGTTTTACTTAGTTTAGTTAGTAGAGTAGTTCAGTTAATCAATCCTTAATCTAGTTTGCTAGATAATGAACTGAAGCTGAGTAATAGTAACTCTAGAGACCCGTGGATTCGATATTTATTACTAGTGCCACTATACTGCAGTCCCTTTCATTGGTTACACTTGGCCATTGTTAGGTGTTGTGTTTTAGAGCATCAGGAAGTCATAACCTTACTTACAGATGCTGAGAAAGGAGATTTGAGGGTCTACTTCGAGGCAACTAAGACATTGGTGAGTTTGGCTATATGGGTGACAACTACGGTCATGATCCTCAAGGATCGGAAGAGGATGGTGAGCACTTGGCTGTGCCTGAGTTTTTGCGAGTAGAGGAGAGTGATGATGCTCAAACATCTGATGATGAGTACCACGAAATTCGGAGGAATGTTCGACAACGGATGTAGCATTTTAGAGCACAATATGTGGAATCGGGGGACGAGGTTGATCAGGTGTTGCGTGAGGATGATGGTCAGAGTTTGGCTGGTGACAATGATGAAGTACCAGCAATGCATGAAGTAGATGGTGAAGTTGCAGAAGATGGTGAAGTTGCAGCAAATGCTGAAGGGGTAGCAGATGATGAAGTAGTAGCAAATGGTGAAGGAGTAGCAGATGATGAAGGAGTACCAAATGGTGAAGGTGATGCAAATGATGAATGCTCGATGGAAACTGAGTACAGGGGATCTGAGGAATCTGCTCATGTTAGAGGTGATATTGGTGAAGAGGTTAACTCATATATTTTTGACAAGAGCTTGTTCTATGATCCGAAGTGTGATCATAGAACATTGAATTTCAAGCCTCGTATGCGTTTCACTAGTCCTGAGCAGTTTAAAGAAGCTATAATCAGGAATGTGATTTATAATGGAGCAGACATTAGATGGGCAAGGAGTAGTGGAGTGAGAAAGGAAGTTGTATGTGCACATAAGAAAGAATATAAGTGTGGTTGGAGGGTGTATGCGAGTTGGTTTCGCAAAAACGAATGCTTTATGGTGAAAGGAGTTGGCTAAGCTCATAGCTGCCCCCGGTCTCTTCGGATTCGTGCAGCCGGTTACAAGTGGATGGCAAAAGAATATCTGGAAACATTTAGGGTCAATCAAGCGTGGGATGTTGGGCTAATAGCAAACGAGGTGAAGCGCAAGTTCAACCTGATTGTATCAACTGCAACTTGCTACCGAGCCAGGTTGGAAGCGCGTCGGCTGCTGTATGGGTCTCTTGAAGAAGACTTTCACCAGATTAGAGACTACATAGGCCATATTATACGAGTGGTCCCTCAAGGCAAATTCCTACTGTCGGCTGTTGGGAAGGACGGGAACAACCACATGTTCCCAATCGCTTGGGCGGTTGTGGAATCAGAGAACAAAAGTTCGTGGATATGGTTTGTAAGCGCATTGCAAGAGCAGCTTGGGACACTCGATGTAAAGGGCTTTACAATTGTGTCAGACCAACATAAGGTATTTTGCTTTTGCTGTCTAAGGGTTGATTTTAAATGTTTTATTTTTGCCTGTTTGTAACTTTGAGATATTCTCCAATTAAAATGCAGGGGCTTGTGGAGGCGCTCCAAACATGCTTGCCAATGGCAGAGCACAGGAAATGTGCTTGCCATATTCACTCCCATTTCCGAGAGAAGCATAAGACGACATTAGCAACTGACCTCTACTGAGAAGCTGTGTATTCATTGAATGAGTCTGATTGGAGGTCTGCGGTGCTGCGAATGCGTGAGCTAGGAGGTTCTGAATACAGAGATTTCATGAATTTTGAACCAGAGCACTTATGTCGGGTCTTTATGAAGACTTTCTCCAAAAGCGATTCAGTTGAGAGCAACACATGTGAATCATTCAACAACTGGATATTGCGGTTCAGGTCATTGAGGCTTATTGCAATGTTGGAGGGGATTCTTGTATCAGTTATGACTCGGCTGGTGAAAAACAAAAAGAAGATGAGTCGGTGGAAGGATAGCTTCCCTCCAGTTGTGCGAGGAAAGTTAGAGAAGGCCAAAGACGATGCAAAAATGTGCACCTCCAGTCCTTCTTCATAAACAATGTTCGAGGTAGCTCACGATGGGAAGGGATTCGTGGTGGACTTGAAGGAGCATACATGCAGCTGCGGGTGGTGGGCTCTCAATGGTATTCCGTGTTGTCATGCTTATTCCGCCGATCGAATTTGTTCGGGAGGCATACAAGTTTCCGATTCCTCCATCTGAAGGGCGGCAAGCATGGCTTCCCGTGCTTGGAAACAAAGTTTATCCACCTAGGATTAGACAAATGCCTGGTCATCCTAAGACAAAAAGGAGAAGGGAGCATTGGGAGGTTAAGAGCAGACCTGGCAAAAACGGAGTCGGAGAGGTTACTTCGAGAGAGAACTTAACTGTCCACTGTGGCAATTGTGGTGGCGAAGGGCACAATGCCAGGACATGCAAGAACTCGCCACTTCCGCCGAGAACTACAGCACCCCATAAAAGGAAGCAACCACCACAAGTTCCAACCACACAAATTCCAGCCACCACACAAGTACCATGAGGTAACGAGCTAAAAATGTCACTTTCATTGTGTTTGTAACGTGAAAATTAACAATGTTTGGTGATAACAGGCACCAAGAAGAAGGAAAAAAGGGCGTTGTTCTAAGTGTGGATCCGAGCACCATAATGCAAGGACTTGTCCGATGAATTTTGGAATTCAGGTACATGTTCCTCACCTCAGTGAACAATTACACGAAAATGTTGAATGGTTGTGGAGAGTAATGAAGTATGTTGTCAATTATGGATGGATGGATGTGTAGGCTCCTCATGTAGGCTCGAATTGTAGACATGTGACTGATCGAGAAATGCGAAGGGCTATGCAAGGGATCGGAACATATGTTGATGAGAATACAGGAAACATGTACGCTAGGGTATGTCATGCTCATTCGTGGTTGACATGATTTTAAGTTGAGTTTTTATGGTTTCTGAACTAATTATGCTGTAATTCTTGTTTTGCAGCTTAGCGCCCGCGTTCCAGGTCCTCGTGGTGCACAACAAACTGAACCGGATCAGCCTCCTTTCAATAGCACACAGCCTCCGACGACTCAACCGGAGACACCTTAATGTGTAGTTTCGTAGTGTGTTTCGTAGTGTGTAGAACACTTCTTTTGGCTTGACTCCTTATGTTTCGGAACATAGTACTGAGGTCCAAGTTGGAGTCATAGGAATTAAATTCGCTCCCCTTTTTGTACATGCTCTCGATAGCAGGAGCTAATGTGACTGTAAAACACTTTTTTGCAACATTCGTATTGATGTCACTATGAAAGAGCTAATGTTAATGTTGAACTTCTTTATGAATTATGGGTACACACTTGTTATGCACAAAGTTTTACTAACAGGAGGTAGCTTATTCTTCAACAAACACACACACAAAGTAAGCTTACAATCACAGGAATTTGCTTGCAAATGAACACACAATCCTCACTCACAATTGAACTCACCATTACAATAAGGCCTATGGCTACAAAGACAATACACAAGATCATTCGACTTTGTAGTGCACATATTGCCTTCTTCAGTAACCTTCTTCAAATCCTCTAGCATCGCCAATTTCTCTTGTTTCCTCCTATTTGCCTTCACTTCTGCCTTATGAAGCCGCCCTTCAAGTGCCTCCATTTTCAATTTCAGATGCTCATTCTCCTCCATTATTCCATATTCAGATGTACCATCGACCCAACGAAAAAAACGACAATCTTCCTTTACATCTTTCCAAAATGGGCAGGAATAGAACTTCCTTCCAGGATTATCCTCTGTGCGAGAGGTATTCACAACGCAGGGAGCATTGTGGCCTTCGCATCTTACTTTCGCCGTGTTCGACGAACCGGAAGCGGAAGAGGCTGGAGCTTGGTTGCTGATTCTACCAGCTTGCCTCGACATTGTTGCTGGAGGCCGCGATAGAAAGAAAGAAAGAAGAGCGTTGGTGAGATGGAAGAAAGGAGGCGAGGGAACTGGGTGGAAGAAAGGAGGGCGCGATTTTGATTCTCGGCGGCGCCGGCTCGTCGGAGAAGGGATAGGATTTCGGGGGAAGAAATTGGTTCGGAGAATGGAAAGGGATTGCTTTTTTCCCGATTTTGGGTGAGAGGGGGAAAGGGGGAGGGTATAAATGGTGGCTGGTGGCTTTTTTTGATTTTTTTTTCTCGTTCTTTTAATTCATTTTTAGAGTTACTAATATATATGTTTTTTTTTGTAATAAGAATTATTAATTTTAAAAAAGAAAAAATAATAATTTTTTTATGTCGACGTGGCAGGTGACGTGTACATTGACTAACGGTCAACAAGTTTGACCGTCTGTTTTGACGGTCAAACCCGCCTCCAGGCCAAATGAGGAAGTTTGCTACATAGTTCAGCCCATAGTAGCAATTTTCAATACCACGGGCCAAAGTATAAAGTATGTGTATAGTTCGGGCCAAACTACGGTATTAACCCTAAAACAATTCGACTTGATTTGTGTGATCTGATATGTTCGGGATAGGTATTACTTGATTCATAGATTGCAGTAGCGTGAGACGAATTATGGAGGTTGTTTTTACCCGTCACGTTTCTTTCTATTATGTTATGTATCAATATATATTTGTATATTTCTTATTTTCACCTTTTAAAAATAATATTTTCATCCAAAAGAAATTTTAAAACCCTAACTATCAACTATTCCTAGTACAGTGAGGAAAGGGCAAAATTGGAAATTGAATAACTAGGAAAATGCCCGCGCTCTTGGGAATTTCGTCGAACGGTTACCCTCCTCCGCCAAATCCATGTATCCGCAGCCACCATCGACGGCGAATTCCTCCTCCTCCAACACGACGCAGAAACCGGCCGGCCTGACGCGGTACGGCTCCGCCCCGGGCTTGTTCATCAACAAGGCGGTCGACTTGGTCATCGGCGCCGACGAAGACCGTCGGTTCTTCGCCACCAACAACATAGGCAACCACAACAACAACAATAGCAAGTACTTCTCCAGCGGGAGCCACAATGGTTAGGCGATTTGCAGTTTCCTGCTGGAAGAACGGCCCAACCTCCTGGCTTGTCCTACGGCCTTCTGGTTTGGCGCGATTTTAGAGAATAGATTGAGGGAAAGAAGAACTCGGGTAAGATGGAGGCCTATAGAGTACAGAATGCCTCAGAGGGATGAGATGTCGCGGGTGAATCTACCGGTTACGGCGGCAACCTTCATAAGCACCGCCGGTTACCATTCCGGGGCAGTGGCGGTTACTTTGGGTTTTGATCATGCATGAGAGGGAAAGGAAGCAGCGGAAAGCGACCAGCTCTGGCTACCCTCTGGATCTGTTTCTCCCTCTTTCTTCGCGGTTGTGCGATCCAGCAGATTCCGGCGGCACGCCATCGTGCGTCAATCCTGGATTTGACTCTATCCTTGAAATCCTTCCCGTGGATCTTATCTTTTGTAGGATTTTTAAACGAGTGGCGGTCCGGGCTCCTACGCCGTCTCCCACCGGTGGACGGCTAGTCTTTCCGGCTTTGTTACTGCGTTGCGGTTTCTTTTTGGTGCAGTTACAACTCTTGGCAGGCACGTTTTCAATTTCCAAATCTTTTAATTCTTTATTTATTTTCTTATTTTTAATGGTCAGCAAAATGTTATGGAACCCTAATCGTGGCTACTCTGCTTTATGTTTTGTGGTGAATCCTAATTGGTCATACGATGAGCAATGGAGAATGATGCCGATCATGATCGAGGTGGAGCAATGCTTGAAGGCCTATTTTGCATTTGTTTCTATTGTTTTTGCTCTTAGTAGTACTAACAGGGCTGCCCATCGCGTGGCCCAAACGGCCCTTGCATCGGTAGCAACCCTTTTGGTTGACTACCGCTCTTTCATTTTCACTGCACTGTAACACCCTATCTATTACGATCTATCTATGACAAAAAAAACTATTCCTAGTACAGTGCAACCAGTTTAAATTAATAATCGCTAAATTAATAACTTACTATAAATTAATAATTTCTCCGGTCCCGACTTGGGCCAGTGTAAAAAATGAGCAAATTAAATAAAATATTAAAGATAATAATTTTTTAATACATGTATTTTTAACTCTATAAATTAATAATTTTAAAAATACAATTCATCTAGAAATTTTAAATATAGCTAGGATAATCTAAAAAAATATGAATATATAGGTGTTTATTTATTCTTGAAGTTCAATTCTAATAGAAGTTCATCTTGAACTTTCCTCATTGCACTCAAAGTCTCATGTGTTGTCTTCTCGAAATGCATCAAGTATTTTTGAAGTGTCGATGCGGTTTTAAGTGCTTCCTTTCGCATGACCGGTTCCAAAGGTGTTGAATTGTCATCTCCTTCATCCTCAAATGATCCCCAATGACATCAGCCACAATTTCTTCTAACGTTTGTGCCGCGATACATTCATCAATTTTACCTAGATACTCCAACAAATGACTTACATCTAGCTTGTTACAATAAGTCATACAATTAATCATATCGTATGAACTTGAAATGTTTGGAAGATACAATGAACATACATCGTATGAAAACCCTCTTTAAATTAATAATTTTTATTTTATTAATTAATAACTACTATAAATTAATAATTATCCAGTCTCGACTATATTAATTTGTAGAGGTTATACGGTACTAAATTTCTCATTCATTTATTAAGTGTTTTCTCGTTCTATTTTTGTAAAAGATTTGGATATTGATGTTCTTTTTTCAAATAACATATAAGGATGGGTCACCCGTCCGGCCCCGTTTCCGCATGGGTATTAACCAAAGAAAACATTAGACACCTCTCAAAAATATTTACAAACCATAAATAAGGAGCTAGTAATAAGGAGGCAGCCATTGTATCTAGAGTTTGACAGAATTCGATGACTTGATGTGGGCGAATTGGTCGATGGACCTTTCCTCTGCGAGATTTTCTCTAACCCCAATCCCTAATTTCTAACTCGAAAATTCATTTAATATAAAATAATAATAACTAACGATTATTATTCGTCGAAATATATCAAAGTGCAAATAACAAGTGTGAACACAGGCGTATAGCGTATGTACGCCACGCATACGCTAGCCTGTGGTGGCTTTCTATCGTACCTTGAGTAAAATTAAAAGTATTGTTTACCTTGAGTAAGAAAATGATATATAGACCTTGAATTGGCCGAATTTTGGGGTGTAATACTATACCCTAGCCCTTGATAAGTGAACCCTAGGTCTTAGTTATCTAACCACAAAATGATACATGTAAATTGTTGCTTATATCTTGAAGAATCTTGACCGTTGTTTTTTGTTTCTAATCAAATTGATCTTAATGTATAAGATTTATTGAATTAGGACCCAAATTATAATATTGAAGGATGAAGGTATAATATCAAGGTCTATATATCATTTTCTTACTCAAAATATACTATACTTTTGATTTTACTCAAAATAGAAGTCATTATCTGTCTATCTATCTATCTATCTATCTATACAATAAATAAAAGGAAAATGTGGAAAGTTGGACCCCCATTTCAAATTTTCTGCATCTAGAGTGAAAGTAGGAAGTGTAATTTCATCTTCACAGTCATTTTTTTATTGTTAGTCATTTTTTATTTACATGAAAAAATGCATCAGGAATAGGATTCGAACCATGGTCTCTTCAAACAAAGACAAGAAACATAACCAATTACACTAAACAAATTTAATTGATTTTTTAAATTAAAAACATATAGGAAGGTTAAATCTGAAAAATCATAGGACTTTTCTGCCACGGTTAGCTAATCCACTAACTCTCCGGTAATTTTTTTTTAGTATTTGATACTTCTAATTTCATATTTTGTTTATTCTAATTTGAGTTTAATAATTACTTTAAAATTTATCTTATAAAAGGAGGATAATTTTAAATCGCAACACAAATGTCATTGGTTTAAATATTGCATATCGAATTGTACTCCTTTTTCTATTGAATCGAATTGCACACTTGACTGTGCAGAAGCGATGTAAAATTATTAATATATACTTAATTTTTATAACTACCATAAATCACGATATTTTGTATTTTGAACAAATAAGTTTTTTAGTGAATATGTGGCACATGAGTCTTTAAGAGAGGGATGCATATGGAAATGTTGATTTGCCGAACGCGGATGGAAAAAACACTACTCATGTAAAAGGGTCCAAATCGTGCCCCGACCCACTAATCGCTCAACCATCGTCGTATGTTCAAATTTTCCATCAAACTCAGCAACCGGCTAACATCCTCCACCTCTATTGTTACGTCAGAGCAATTTTTGGAGGGGTAAATATGAAAAGATTGAGTTTTGTTGGTTTGACGCACACAGATGGTTAAGGCGCTACTAATGTAAACGGGCTCAATTCCACTAAATGCTCAACTACCGCGCTTACTTTCGCTACACCTAATATAATAGTGAAATGGGAAAAACATTTTCCCATTACAAAATCCCGGCATCAATAGGAAAGTAGGAAGGGAAGATTCGTCTTCATAATTTATTATTTTCTTATTTACAAGGAAAAAATACATCATTGATGGGTTTTAAACTGTGGTCTTGATAAGTCAAAAGCGTATATGCCTTAATCCTATCTTGTAGTAAAACCGGAAATCCGGGTATCGTCTCTCAGGGACTGGTACAACCTTATGATTTATCAATTCTTTCGAGCAAACTATATGTGAAAATGTTTAAGAGATGAAATTATTAACTAAAAGCAAAATTAACTAAACTAATTAAGCAAAGTAAACTTGTCGAGGAAAATTCAATGGGAGAAAGCTCTGGGAGAAACACCGGGATTCACTACCTATCCTATCCAGATTAATTCACATATTCCAATCAATTTAATCCATACCTCTACAGCCAGGATATCACTACTGTGCTAGCTATCCCTGTCGGGAATTACTACGTACTAAACAATTAAATCAAATCCTACTGTCGTAGCTCAATGACCTAATTATTTAGCCTGAAGATCGATATCCTATTTAAGACCGCATAGCACCTTATTTAATCCACTGTCGCTTCGATAAGTTACTATGTCACATGAAATAGGTTCAGTTATTAGGGTTTCACTGTCGCTAATAACCTAATTAACTACAAATCGATGTATTGGTGGCCAGTCAACACAAGGCATTAAGCAATTTCATGCAATAGAGATTGGAAGAAAAGAATCATAAATCAATCCATCAAATCAAGAAATAGCTACATCCTATGGTGTTTCCCCCAGAAATTGGGGTTTAGTTCATGACGAAATTAAGATAAATCGATAGGGTTTTGTTCATCATGTTCTAAATCAACAAGAAACAACTAATTAGGTTTAGAAAATCCAACCAACTAATCGCTCTCGTTGAACTCAGCTCAGGCCTTGCTCGATCGCCAATCTCAATCGCACTGCTCCTGCTGCTGCTCCGCTTTTGCTTTCGTCCCTTTCTTTTTTTTCTCACCAAGAATTCTCTTTTCCCCCCCGAGAAATTGGTTTCCTGCTTTTCTATTTTTTTTTTTTTTAATTCCGAGAGTTCCCCCCCAGACTTCTCTTCCTTTCCGTCCCAAATAATTACTTCTTTTCCCTGCGTTCCAAGACAAGACACCCGCCGCCAATCAAATTCCGTCCGTGTCCAATTCTTTGGCCCAAGGAATTTCGTTTTCAACAACCAAAAACGACCCCTTTTGTCTTGCTGCCTTTTCTTTCTTTTCCAAGTATCGGCCCAATTCACCCTCCAAAGATGATCCAACTAATTGGAATTCCGTCCAAAAAACTCCTCTGCTCCCCCGGCCAATTCCTCTGGGTATTGAGCCCAAGCGAGTAGTCCACCAGTAATTCGAGTCCGATTTATTGCTTGTGCACTCGCTCCTTTTTCGTGTTTTCTCCACCTGTATCATATCAAACTCATGGCACTAGGCAGTAATGGTTTTTCAACCATTTCCGGGTTAGTGAGCCCTAAAATAACACCAATCGGCTTAAACATATCATGGATAATCACATAAAGTCCAAGAATTCAATATGTTAAAGCCGAATATCACAACCCCACACTCAATTGTTGCTTGTCCCTAAGCAACGACTCAAATGACACAAACACATAACCAACCATAACAATGACACACCACAGACTCACTAATCAAAACAAAACACAAAATTTCCTTGTACTCTTGTTGTAATCAGTAGTTTCTTTCTCAACGGACAAGTTGTGCTCTAATGGTCATACCTTTCACCCCACACTCAAGTTCTTTGCAACCATTACCATTGACTGACTCAAATCCATCAAAAACTCAAATAACAACACTCAATTTTGATCGTCAGTAGCGGGTGATTAACAACTTATGGTGCAACAATTATTAGGAGAATCTAACCACATCAGTGAGGTGCATATCTCGTGAGGACAATCTAGCTTACTCACACCAATCATAAGCAATTAATTAAGCATGAGTCTCAAAAACGAATGGGGGAAACCTTTCGCAAACATGAATTTAACTTTAAGCACATTACTACCTTTTATGACAAGGAGAGGCTTTCTCTCTTTCTGCTTTTGCTTGCCGAGAGGTCGTATTTAGTACAAGTGGGATTTGTTTCTTACTACCGGTGACCGAGCAAGAGCAATTTCTGCTTCTTAGCACTCGCATAAGGGCTTCTTTTAACTCCTTATCCTCGGTCCGTGTGGAGGGTCATTGCTCCTCAAATGGCACTTCACTCAACTGGGGATCGTACTTGATAAGCAACATCGTACGGTCGCGAACCGATTCTCAATTGAATCTTTCCTCATCCCCATGTGCAATGAGTGATTGCCTCACACGATTTTGGCATTTTTACCCACACTTTAATTGTTATGGCAACTTTCTTATATTTTACTTGTCAGGTAGGATTTTTCTTTATATAAAGATACAGTTCACCCCATCATAAAACCATCAAAACAGAGAGACCCATTGCCAAATCAAAAGCTCACAATTGATGTAAGTAAGCACGATATCCAAACATATCGAATGGTCAATGTTCTCCACCTAACTACTTCACCAAAAGTCATTACACTATCCTCACAAAAGAGAATGTTGCTAAAAAAGTTTGCTCATTCAAAGCACATCAAGTCAGTCAAAACATTCAAGCTCATTGTGAAGAACTATGCAATTCAACACTAGTGGGGTGATTTCGATGATTTCATTCAAGCACAAACTCATTTTCAAGGCATCACGGTCATTTACATCATGTTACCACAAGAGTACAAGGTTTTGTTTTTGATTTTTCTGATTTTTAGGTGTTTTTTAGCCATTAGATTAACATAGGCAGACTGCTTTTTACACAGGCAAACTGCATGCAGTTTGGCTGTGCTCAACCTAATGGCAATTTTTTGTTTTTTTGTTTTTGTTTTTTGTTTTTTTTTTTTTGGATTTTTTGTTTTTTTTTTTACCGACCACATGACAAAAGGAACAAACAAATTTTTTTTTTTTTTTTTTTTTTACTGACCACATGACAAAAGGAACAAACAAACACTAAGACTCGCCACCCCACACTCAGGATGGAACATTGTCCCTAATGTTCAACTCCTAATCTAAACATGCACGGGTTTGACACAACTAAAAATAAAAATAAAGAAAAGAAAACTTACCTTGGGTTGCCTCCCAAGAAGCGCTTGTTTAACGTCCTCAGCCTGACGTTTATGGAGCTTTCAACCAATGGGTATGGAAAGGTATCCAGCATACCCTCCCGAGCAATGGTAGAATGCATAACCTCCATCCAGCATATGAGTTACCTCTGCAGGGCCAGGTGTACGAAAATTTGGTATGACCTTCTTAGCTGGCATGTTAGACCCTCTAGTGAGGCGTAGGTGGTACTGCAGCGCCTCAAGCAGGTACTCTTCCTGTTTCAATGTCAGTGAAGAAGGAATAATAACAGGAAGATTGAAATCCTTACCCAAATATCTATACTTGAGGTGACCTGGCAAGGATTTCTGCCCTTGCTTTGACTTCAGAATCTGAGCAGATAGGATAGGTGATAGTTCTTCGGATGGTCCACTATCACAGGAAGAGGGATTTTTCCTTTCTCGAGCTTCACTTTCAAATTCATCATGATTATGGTCAACTTGAAAGACATTAAAAATTTTCTCCTCCTTACCTACTCGGAATGTCAACTTGCCTCTCCCAACATCGATGAGTGCATCACCGGTTGCTAGAAAAGGTCTGCCGAGGATTAGAGGCACTCCCTGATCTTCTTCCATCTCCAGAATCACAAAATCTGTAGGGAGAATAAACTTCCCCACCTTCACCAATACATTCTCCACCACTCCCTTTGGGATTTTTACTGATCGATCAGCCAATTGGAGAGTGATCCGAGTAGGCTTAAGAACATCTCCCAATCCCAATTTCTTGTAGACTGAGTATGGCATCAAATTAATTCCTGCTCCAAGATCACAAATTGATTTATCGAACTCTCTACCTCCAATAACACATGGAATGGTGAAACTGCCCGGATCATCCCTCTTCTTTGGTAATTTATTCTGAATCACAGCACTACATTCAGAAGTAAGGGTTACCTTCTCCAGATCAGCCCATTTGCGCTTCTTAGTCAGCAACTCCTTTAAAAATTTAGCATATGTAGGCATCTGTTCAAGTGCCTCCGCCAAGGGTATGTTAATCTGAAGTTGCTTGAAGATATTCACAAATTTCTTGAAGTTTGGGTCTTCCATGGGCTTCATTAACCTTTGAGGGAATGGTGCGGGAGGTTCATAAGGTTTTACCTCTTCATTCTTCAATTTTTCCACTTTTTGAGGTACACGGGCAGCATGCTTTTGCACAGGCAAACCGCTTTCATTTTGCCTGTGCAAGGCTGATTCTTCATTTTCTGCACAAGATCTTTCTCCCGGTGCTTCCTCTTCTGCCTCTGGTACCTTTTTCGAGCTGCTAGGGTCTTCCAAGGCCTTTCCACTCCTCAATGTCACTGCTACAACCATGGCATCCTTCGGATTCCTCTCAGTATTTGCTGGTAATGTCCCAGGAATCCTGCCTTGCATATCTGCAAAAGTTTGAGCCATCTGTCCCATCTGCCTCTCCATAGCTAGCATAGACGATTGTAAATTATTGTTGATGGCTAGCTGTTGAGTGACAAATTGATCCAGGCCCTTGAAATTATTGTCTGTTTTCTGCATATGAGCCAAAATCAACTCCTCCAGCTGAGGCTTCTTCTCTGGTTGAGGCTGCTGCTGTTGAAAACCAGGAGGTGGGATGTTTCGAACACCAGTTGGGTTGTTGTTTGCCCAGGAAAAGTTAGGATGCTTCCTCCATTGCGGGTTGTAGGTATTTGAATACATACCACCCTGGCCTTGATTTTGTTGATTGTTGATATAGTGCACATTTTCCAACTGATCAGACACCAGTGGACATAGATCCCTATGATGAGAACCTTCACATAATTCACAATAAGCAACCTCCTCTTGTCTACCAAGAGCCAACTTAGCCAGCCTTCGTTCGAGTGCATCGAACTTGGAATCCAACTTAGCATCAATCTTTGCTTCTAAGCTTGCAACTCTGTCTATCTCATGCAAGTCTCCTCTCCTTCGAATGCCGGTCTCAATCCCCCATTCAGTATCTTCAGAGCATATCTTCTCCACCAGTTCATATGCTTCTGGTGCTTCCATTCTTGTGAAACCATTTCGGGAAGCATTATTCAGAGCATCTCGAAATTGTCTTCTGATTCCGTTGAAGAAGATGGAGATCACATTCCAATCTTCAAGACCGTGGCTCGGGCATCTCATTAGAAGCTCCTTATAGCGCTCCCATGCCTCGGTCAGACTTTCATCCTCAGCTTGTTTAAAAGTGACAATTTCCTCTTGCCTCTTCATTGCCTTGGCAGGAGGAAAGTACTTATCCAAAAAGGTCTTCTCAAGCTGACCCCATGTTGTGATGGAACGGGGTGTCAAGTTCTGGAACCAGTGTGATGCATTCCCTAGCAGAGAAAATGAGAACATCCGAAGACGGATGGCATCATCAGACACAGCCGGGCTCTTCATCGTGTCACAAATGTTTGCGAACCGGCGAAGATGCTCATGAGGATCCTCACTGCTAGCCCCGGAGAAAGTATACCCATTAGTGATCATATTGATGAAGGCTGGGGTAATCTCCATGTTTGCATCCCCAGCCGGAATGACAACACATGAAGCTCGGGCTCCAGTCCTTCGATTCAAGCGAGCCCTGATCGAACGATCCTGTTCAGCCATGATGACAGGCTCGATGATGCGCGGCGGTGGTGTAGGTGGTGTAGGGATGACAGGTGGTGTCACCTGCCTTCTCGGTTGACGGTTCTGAGTTAGGGAAGGCCTAGGAGTTGTGGATGTGGTAGGCTGCTTCCCTAACTTGACCTGCTTCCTGTTCTGTCGGCAGGTCCTCTCGATCTCGGGATCTAGTGGCAGTAAATTGCCAGTCGTCCTCCTTGGCATGCACGAGGAGGATTAACCTGAAAAATTCACCTGCACACTAACACCCAGATCAAAACAGTTCACTCACAAAAATCAACAAAAATAAGGTATGGCAGTCCCCGGCAACGGCGCCAAAAACTTGATAAGTCAAAAGCGTATATGCCTTAATCCTATCTTGTAGTAAAACCGGAAATCCGGGTATCGTCTCTCAGGGACTGGTACAACCTTATGATTTATCAATTCTTTCGAGCAAACTATATGTGAAAATGTTTAAGAGATGAAATTATTAACTAAAAGCAAAATTAACTAAACTAATTAAGCAAAGTAAACTTGTCGAGGAAAATTCAATGGGAGAAAGCTCTGGGAGAAACACCGGGATTCACTACCTATCCTATCCAGATTAATTCACATATTCCAATCAATTTAATCCATACCTCTACAGCCAGGATATCACTACTGTGCTAGCTATCCCTGTCGGGAATTACTACGTACTAAACAATTAAATCAAATCCTACTGTCGTAGCTCAATGACCTAATTATTTAGCCTGAAGATCGATATCCTATTTAAGACCGCATAGCACCTTATTTAATCCACTGTCGCTTCGATAAGTTACTATGTCACATGAAATAGGTTCAGTTATTAGGGTTTCACTGTCGCTAATAACCTAATTAACTACAAATCGATGTATTGGTGGCCAGTCAACACAAGGCATTAAGCAATTTCATGCAATAGAGATTGGAAGAAAAGAATCATAAATCAATCCATCAAATCAAGAAATAGCTACATCCTATGGTGTTTCCCCCAGAAATTGGGGTTTAGTTCATGACGAAATTAAGATAAATCGATAGGGTTTTGTTCATCATGTTCTAAATCAACAAGAAACAACTAATTAGGTTTAGAAAATCCAACCAACTAATCGCTCTCGTTGAACTCAGCTCAGGCCTTGCTCGATCGCCAATCTCAATCGCACTGCTCCTGCTGCTGCTCCGCTTTTGCTTTCGTCCCTTTCTTTTTTTTCTCACCAAGAATTCTCTTTTCCCCCCCCGAGAAATTGGTTTCCTGCTTTTCTATTTTTTTTTTTTTTTTTAATTCCGAGAGTTCCCCCCCAGACTTCTCTTCCTTTCCGTCCCAAATAATTACTTCTTTTCCCTGCGTTCCAAGACAAGACACCCGCCGCCAATCAAATTCCGTCCGTGTCCAATTCTTTGGCCCAAGGAATTTCGTTTTCAACAACCAAAAACGACCCCTTTTGTCTTGCTGCCTTTTCTTTCTTTTCCAAGTATCGGCCCAATTCACCCTCCAAAGATGATCCAACTAATTGGAATTCCGTCCAAAAAACTCCTCTGCTCCCTCGGCCAATTCCTCTGGGTCTTGAGCCCAAGCGAGTAGTCCACCAGTAATTCGAGTCCGATTTATTGCTTGTGCACTCGCTCCTTTTTCGTGTTTTCTCCACCTGTATCATATCAAACTCATGGCACTAGGCAGTAATGGTTTTTCAACCATTTCCGGGTTAGTGAGCCCTAAAATAACACCAATCGGCTTAAACATATCATGGATAATCACATAAAGTCCAAGAATTCAATATGTTAAAGCCGAATATCAGGTCTCTTTGAAAAAAGACAAGAAATATAACTTGTTACACTAAAGAAATTAGTGTTTTTAAATTAAAAACATACAGGAAGCATAAATCTGAAGAAAAATCTCTGATGCTTTTCTCGGTAGCTCTCCATGGCTACCACTGACGATCGTGCTAACCTTCGTACACATCGGATCAAGGACCCACCAGACTCTTCGCCGAACTCATCCACAATCCAGCAGAGCAAAAAGCAAAAGCTGATTCATTATGTTGGCTTCTCTGGCCAAGGATCGGTGATCCTAGATTTAAACCGAACGACGCCAACACATGAGGACGAAAAAAGAAATAATAAAACCCTTGTGGGGGCGAAGCTTACCTATAGTGACTCCATGTCAGTCTGGCGTCCACATTCTACGGAACCGAATGGAAGGGACTTGATGTTCGATGAGTTAGATATTGAGGATGGAGAAGACGGATCCCAGTGCGAAAGGCGACGGTGAATAGGATTCGAGATCGATGGGGTAAAGATCTCATTTGTAAGATCCTCGGTAGACAGTTTTCCTTCCCACAGCTCAGAAAAAGATTCAACACCTATGTGCGAAAATCAGCAACGTGGGTGTGGCAGACTTCGAGAATGGATTCTTCACCGTCAGGTTCATATCCCGGCAAGATTACGGCAGAGCCTTGTTCGGTGGCCCTTGGCTTTTTGGCGGCCACTATAACCTTATGACAGAGTGTAGGCTGGATTTTGATCCAGACTACAATGTCATTTGATCACGCTAAAGTGTGGATCCGCCTCCCACGACTTCCGATGGGGTTCTTTGATACAAAGATCTTGAATGACATTGGTGGCAAAGTTAGAAAAGTAATCAAAATGGAATACAATACACTACATTGCACGAGAGGGAACTATGCACGGTTGTGCGTTGAAATTGATATGAACAAGCGCCTTGTTCCCGAATACTGCCTGAAGATAAGAGTTTGCCGCATCGAATATGAAGGTCTACACTTGGTATGCTTTGCTTGTGGTCGATATGGTCATACTCAGCAGACATGCGCCAAGACTTTTAAGGAGGGAAAGATCCTACTGGAGTTCAATTCAAAATCAAATCCCATGTTCAACTTCAAAGGGAGTGCATAGATTCGCCCAGAGATTGTGGAGGACTATGGCCCTTGGATGATTGCCACGAGGAACAGCCGGCAGAAACATCACCAGAAGTATTACGAACAAACACCAGAGAATAATCAACCTACGACGCTGATATATTCACTAGGACATCACAGAACACACCGGCGATTACCCAATGGTCACTTAGATCGAGATTCGACACCTTGGGATCCCAGGAGGCAAAAATCATGCCGGAAAGAGCGACCATAAGTGAAAGTAAAGTAAGATCAGAATCTCAAAAGGGGAAAAGGGCTGTTGCAGAAAGTAATGAGAGCAACGTCTCTGGAAAGTCAGCAAAGGAGGAAAGATCCACGGATAGGAGTAAGAAAGGACAAAAAACAGAGAAGGAAAGTGCGAGGAAGGAGAAGGGGCAGCCGAAGAAGAAGGGGCTGATGCACGCAGGATGAGCATCTAGCAGGCCGATACCTCTGGCCCAAGCTTAAATCCAAGCTCAATCTGGACTGCAGCTAAAAAAACTCGGACCAAAGCTCAACGGAACAAATGCCTAGACTGAAAAACTCCCCCAGACCAACCAGGCTAGGGGTGGGCGTTCGGTCGGTTCGGTTTCAACCGAACCGAACTGGTATATGTCGAATTTCCAAAGTCGCCCGCGCTCCAACAGATTTCGAACCGAACTATAATTCGGTTCGGTTCGATTTTTCCAGCCAGAACTGAATTAATCCATGCTGACCTGCTGGGACAGTTTTGCCGTTTTGGTGCTTCTGCTGCCTTTTGGATTTGGACCATAGGGCTGCTCGAAATTTTGCAATAAGACTGTTGTATTTTGGCTTCTCATTTTGTTTACCACCTAACATTTCAATTTTATAAATTAAATACAATTAATTAAAACAAGCATTCCAAGTTGATAGATAATCAATGTCCACCTTCCAAATATTCAACGCAAACACAATTCATCAAGTCCTTCCAAATATTCATTACAATACAAATGGTTTTAAGTTCAAACTAACATGAGAAAGGTAACCAATATCTAAATTCCAAGCATAACTTGTAGAAACTCCAACGGTCTTGCTTCTTAGCTCTTCACTCTTGGACAATTGAGACCTTTGAATTCAAAAATAGTACAATAAACATGAAACAAAACAATGATGGTTAGTGATTAATATGTATATAGCTAATTACAAATAACCAAGTAGAATAAAATCTCAACTTCTTACCTCTAAAGTCATCAATCATGCATAGAAACATCGGAATTCTCACCACAAGCACTACTAGATGCACATGCACTACCATCGTTCCTCCTTCCACTTGAACTTGGTAAATTGGAAGTCGAGGTAGATGAAACAAGATTATCACTTATGGAGATTACATTCATCAACTTGTCCAATTCTGCATGATTAAAAGGGCTCAAAATTAGTCATGCCATACAAATTAATCATGTTTTCAAAATGTAAAGCTAGATTTGAGACTTTACCTTCATCTATTTTCTTGACCTCTTTTGGATCCTCCTCGGCTGATGGTGGTGCAGAATCACCACGAATTCAATCTGAGCTACAAATTAAAGCCTCCACAATTTTAGGAGTCAATGAACTTCCGAAATCATCTAGAATCCTCCCACCAACGCTAAAGGCAGATTCAGATGCAACGGTAGAGATTGAGACCGCTAAAACATCCTTAGCCATCGTGGAAAGGGCTGGAAACCTCAAGTTGTTAACCTTCCACCAACCAAGTACATCAAACTTGAGCACCATTGGTTCGTCTTCCTCACAAAGGTATTTCTCAATCTCGGATTTGTTTACCGCCCCTACACTTTGCTCTCTATGCTTTTTGTATTCAGCAAGTACATCAAGCTCATCCCCATCACCCTCCTCCACAATTGGGGCCAAAGAAGTATAGGCATTCTTGGATTGTTTCAAATTCCAAAGTTATTCATAGTGAGCAAATAGATCAACAAAGCAGTTAAACAGATTCTAGACACACTTGCTATTAAACAAATAGCAATCTCAATTCTCAAATAGCAATCTTAAGTTTTTGAATATTAAGAACCTACCAACACATGGACATCCACACCCTCGTTTGGAATCTGTTGACTGTCGGCGTCGGTGAAGCTGCCGGTGGTTTTCTTTGGCATTCGACTAGTGGTCATGTTTCAAGGAGACGAGTGAGTGGTACTGTCGACGGGAGCTGGGTGTCTATCGACGGGAGCAGGATGGCTGTTGGGTGTCGGCGGGAGCCGGGAGAGTTTGTGAGTGACTGGGTGTGGGTGCCGTCGTGCCGACTGCCGGGTGGGAGTGGGAGGGAAGCGGCGGCCGGCGAGTGGCTTGGCGAACTGGCGATGGGAGAGATGGATGAATGCTGAGTCGCAGAGAGAGGTCGAGAGTCGAGATTGGGATTCCAGAATCGGGAGAGGCCGTCTGGACTCGGTGTCGGGTCGGGCTCGGGGAGAGGCCGACAGGCCGCCGGGGTTGGGGGATGACGAGATGGCCGACGGACGACGCAGACGGGGACGCGGCAGAGCATATGTGGGGTTTCCACCTTTTTGATTTCGCCTCTCTGCTGGCTGACGGCTGCTCCTGGCTACGTAGGGTTTCGAATTCAGCATTCAGTATCAGCAAGCCTTAGTGTTTTTCGGATAGGAGAAGGAGAGTGGGCTGACTGGCTGTTGTGGCAGGTTTGGGCTTGGCCGTTTGGGCTTTAGTTGGATCAAGTAGGGAGTGGGCTGACTGCTGAGGTTTGAAAATAATTGCAGATATTATCCATGCAGATATTATCCCTAAAATAGGGATAATCCCACAGATGATATTTGCACCTAAAATGATCATACCTTCTTAATTTCATCACACATCTTTCTCTACTGAGTTATATACAAAGTTGGCAAATCAGATATCTTATTTTACTTGCTGACAATATGGTATTAACTTATTTTTATGAACAATATAATACATTAACATTAAAACTCTCAAAAAGGAAAAAAAGTTGAACAACCCTAGATATTGAGCAAACCAATGTGTATGCTACTCACAATTATCCGAAAAAAGGAGAAATCCAAATGCAAAAAATGGGAAAAAATAAAAATAAATAATTACAAAGGCATTTATGTCATCTCTAAAGACTGTGTACTCTATAGAAGCACCCTCACTCAACTGAAAGTCTCTCCCCAATAAAAAATAAAAACTCTCATAATCCACAAATAATATTTAATAAATTAATAATACTCTCATAAAATACTCTCTTTTCCCTTCTCTTCTCATTACTAGTGTTCTTACTTAATTGATTAATTTCCTTCCTTTTTTTCCCTCTCCAATTGATGGCAGTTGTATTATTATTTCTTATTATTTATTATCTGAATAAAAAAAAGTATTTTCAACCGCCTCACCTGGTTGTCACACAATGTTGTCTCCACATGTGCATCTCTCCGCCATGATAATAATGCCCGCCAGCACCATGGTGGTTTAACAAATTGTAACATCGCCGGAATCCCTCTCCGTTCATCGGAGAGTAACCCCACTCTTCTCCCAAATTATGGCCATCATTGTTACTCCTGCACAATTCCTTGTTCGTACCCGTTTCCTTCTCTTCCGACGATGATTCATCCTCCTCTGTCTCTTCTTCTTCTTCTTCTTCTTTTGCTGGAGCCGCACAAAATGACACCATTTCCTCATTAATTGCAACCAAATCTTCCGGATTACCCTCACATACGTCATTTTTAGCGATGCAATCATCACCGTCGATTTTATCATCCCGAACGAGGAGCAATCTCAACCTTCCATCTTCTCTCGACGCTCGAAGAACCTCGGGCCGATCGATTCTCACCTCCGTCAACTCTAACCGCCCATCCTTCCTCACCGGCCGGAGAAAGAAGTTCGGCTGCCCATTCTTGTTCAGCGACGAGATCGGCGGAGGAAACTTCTTCACCTTCATCGCATCCCTCTTGCTCCTCCTCTCCTTAATCCTATCCCTCCATCTCATGCTCATATCTCCGATTTCTCCATCGCTTCGCGCTGTTGTCGAACAAGCATTAGAATCATTATTATTTTTTTCCTGATTTCTGCCATCATCGTCGTTGCGTTGCTCGTCGTAGCTCTCGAACCCGAGGCTCTCGGTGCACGAGTTCAATCCGTCGGCGAATTTGCATCCTCCGCTGCCACCGAGTTCTTCCATGAATACACGTTTGCTGATCTTTGGCCTTGGCTGCGATGGAGGCGGGGGAGACTTGACGATGGATGCGGATTCAACTACATTTGGAGGGCGATGGATGTGGATTTCGTTAGGGGAGGTGATTAGTCCTAGGCCTTTGTTGCACGGCGATGACGGTGGCAACGGCGGGGAAATGAGGCATGAATTTGAGATTGAGAGGCCTCCAAGAAAGGAGTGGACACTCTTCTTGCAGAAAGTCATCATCATGGTTATTATTACGATGAAGAAATTGAATTGTTGAGAGTGATGAAAAATTTATGTGACTCTTTGGAAGGGAGAAGAAGAAGAAGAAGAAGGAAATATGAGAAGGAAATGGGAGATAGTTTTTTGAGAGAGTGGTGGATGAATGAAGATGAGATCTTTTAGCTAGTAATATAATAATAATGATAATAAAGATGTTAAATTTGATGAAAATTTTTATGGTGACACCTACGGTGGAGGAAGAGAAGAGGAGAAAAGAGAATGATAAAGAGAGAGCCAACAGGAGAGAGAAGAAACACAAAGTGGGAGGAGCTGCATTAATAATACTAACTAATATGAATATAATACAAGAAAAAGACTAGTACTTTTCTTTGTTTTGATGGAGAAGAAGGTTTTTATCGTTCTTGTGATTTTGCTTGTCAATTTGAGAGCTTGAAGAGTAGGAGATGAGGGGTCTTCTATAATCGTATGAAAAAGAGATGATTATGAGGACCCCACAAGTGGGAAAGAAGGAATGAAATTAGCAATTTTAAGTCTTGGTTGAAATTTGTTGTGGTTAAATAAACGTGAGGAGATCTAGAGAGAGAAAGGTGAATGAATTTTACCTTCATTAACTTTGTTCAAACTCGGTTAAAAACAGAACAGTCAAAAGCGGCTTGGGTTTGCTATAATTGAGTTGTCAAATCACAATCCATAAAATGAGGTTTGTTATATTAGTTGAGTTGGATTGTGATCATGCTCATAAAGGAATGATATTTATCTTCAATTTCCTTGTTTGTACAGCTTATCCACGCGTTTTTTGTTTCAATTGTTCAATTTTGATCTTTTTATGGTTCCTCTTTTAGATGGTAAAACTATGTGGAGTATTAGATTCGAAAATTTAGTTGAGTTGAGAAACTTGAGGTTGTTGTAAAAAAAAAAAAGGACAACTGAAAACAGTAAAGAAAGTATATGACTAATGGATGGACCTAAATACTAACCAATCAAGATGGAGTTAGATTTTATAATCATATTTATCATTTATTTGCTATATTACTATTTTTTTACATTGATTTGTAGTGAATTATATTGTGGGACAACAGTGATTCAAGCCTACTTTCTAGATAGATATTTCGTGTCTCATTTGAGACCAATTTTTTTTTTCTAATTGAATGTAATTTTTGTGTCATTATTCACACATAAAATCTATATTTTCACATAATTATACCAAAATTTCACCCAAAAGTCTTTAAGAATGGAGATAAGAACACAACAAGATGCTTTGGGCACTATTCTACTGTCGTTCTACCCTTGAGTTTTTGGATCGTTTCCGGGTTGGAAAATTGCTCTCTCGGGCATAGAAACCTCCATATATGACTTGATGCTCGAATCCTGCCAAGAGACTCTACTATGACTGCCCAACAATCCCTAGTAGCAGAAAAAACTGGGATACCTAGAAAAAGATCTACCAATTTGTTATACTTGTCTTGTCTGTACCTGGTCTCAAAATCAAGTTCCAACAACTTCACTAGTAATTTCTTCTAAATATGTGTATGCACATTCTGTCCTAACAAGTGCTACAAGATTTCGTGGCCAGTGAGTATTACAAAGGTTTTACCTTGCAAATAATATCTCCATGTGGTAACAATCAAATATACTGTCAAATATTCCTTCTCATAAGCTTAAAGACCTTGTTTCCTGGAACATAAAGCCTGGATGTGATAAGGAAGTCTATCCTCGTAAGATAGCACTGTTCAATTCATATATCATTGGCATCTGTTTCTAATGTAAATGGCTTAGAGATATCAGGAAAATTTAGAACAAGAGCCCGCAACATAGCAGACTTCAGTAGCTCAAAGGCCCTCTGTGCATTCGAATTCCACTTAAAACTCTTTCTTGAGTAACTCAATAGGAGGTTTAGCCACTAAACCATAATTCTTCACAAATTTTCTGTAATAGTTAGTTAACCCCTCAATTCATTACTATAGTTAGTAGACCCCCTTCCTCACTGATAATATGACCCAAATAATCAAATTGTCTATATCCAAATAAGCATTTTGATGGTTTGGCTATTATCTGAGAATGGCTAGGGTAGTTGACAAATGTTGTTATGAGAGGTTCGGTCGGTATTTTGAACTAGTATGCCATTAAAGAATACAAGTATAAAATTCCTCATGTGATCAGCAAAAAATTGGTTCATTAAGGCTTTGAATGTGGTACGAGCATTAGTAAATCCAAATGGCAGTACTAAGAACCCATAGTACCATAGTGTTCTACAAGCAGTATTGTATTGACATGTTGGATTCATTCTTATTTGATGGTATCCTGACAGTAAGCCCAACTTGATAAAGTGTTTGGGCCCCTTAAGTTCATCCAACATATCATCAAGTATATGAATGTCAAATTTATCCTTAATGGTTAATGAATTAAGTTATTGGTAATCCAAAAAAATCTCGAGGTCCCACGTTTTTAAAGTACCGATAGAACACGAGAAACAAAAGGACTGTCACTAGGTTGTATATACTAGAAGCTAACATCTCATTGACTTACCTTTCCATTTCACATTTTTAGGAAGAGAATGTTTATAGGGTCGTTGATTGAAATGGTTTTAGTTTAGTTGTAATGAATTAGAATGGTCAAAAGATTTGGAAGGTATTAAGAAACTGGCTTTGCCAAACACATGAACATACTCATTGACCACATGCTTAAGAAATTCTGGAATGTTTTTGGTATTGTAGAAGTAGCAGTGATACTGAACAACTAACTTTCCCATATAAGAACCTTCAACCTGAAAAATTTTCTACGAGCCCTTCCCCATCATGGATTTGCAGTTTTCAAACTCCTGCGGTCCCTTTAGATTAACTTTATTGCCATCCTTAGCAAAGAAAATATGGAGATTGATGAAGTCAAACTTCATAGGGCTAAAGGTCGTGAGCCAATTCTACCCCAAAATCATATCATTGAAGCCCAAACAAAGTATCCTAGCATCATACATCAAATGATGCATGATAGACCATTGATTGCACATGGTTTTACCCCTATTCTTCAGCCGTTTGAGATGTTGATTTTAGTGGTTTAAGCCGATTTCATGCTAGCTTTTGTGTTTATGTCATATTTCAGGGATTGGCGTTGGCATTGAGGCGAAGAAATGATGTTCGGGTCGAAAGGAGCACGTTTGAGTTGAAGTGTGTTGGAGGAGCAAAATACCCGACCATGAGCAAAAATACCCGGCCGGGTACTAATCTGCGCAGACCAGGGAAAATCTCTTTTGGGCGTTTGAGAAGCAGAAGGGGGCCCGGGCATTGACAATAAATCCCCAGTCTGGTATTCTTCACCTTGACCGGGGATTAATCCCCTGTCCTCAACGGTTCGTTTCAACAATCCCGGGTCGCCACCTAAAATACCCGACCGGGTACAATGACCGGGGATCGCAAACGCAGGCTGTTAAAAGCCTGTTTTGTGCGTTTTTGTAAATGGAGAGCTGGGTTTTGGATCCCAAACACCCAAGGGACGAACCAAAGAGAGAGAGGGCGATTTGAGGGCATTCTTGGAGTGGAACTGGAGGATTTCTTCGCCTTGGAAGCTCGAGGAACAAGCCCGGACTTGAAGACTGATCATCTGAAGATTCATACTGCAGTCTCTCTCTTCTCTATGGAGTAACTTCCCTTCACTTAGGTTTTGAGGAACCCTAGCTATGTTTGTTTGATTGGATGATTGTATGAGTACTCTTACTTGATAATCTTGAGTTCATATTCAATCTATGCATGTTTTCATGATTCAATTCTGCTTTAGTCGAGATTATTGATTCTGCTTTGATCCTATGAGAGCGAATACCTGATTAGGTCAATAGAGAACCATAGATTGATGGTAGTGGATCGATTGCTGTAGTCGAGGGTTGATTCACTGCTTTGTATCGATTGAGAACCTCTTTCGATGGAGGGAGTCTAGTTCAGAACGCCTTGATCGTTGTTCTAGAGAAGGATACGTCCCTCTAGGAAATTGACTCAAGAGTGCCTTGTTCCTTTAGTCGAGACTCAAGGTCTAGTCAAGGATTCTCCGCGTTGTGAATGAAAGTGAAGCAAGTTAGAAATCATCAATCATTAATCTGACTAGTGGCTAGGGGGAATCATACTTAAGTGAGTTCCCAACTTGTAATTAGATTAACTTTAACTGTAGTTTGTTAGAGTAGTTTTTGTTATTCCATCTTAATCTGGTTTGCTAGATAATGAACTAAAGCTGAGTAATAGCAGCTTTAGAGACCCGTGGATTCGATATTTATTACTTGAGCCATTATACTGAAGTCCCTTCCATTGGTTACACTTGGCCATTGTTAGGAGTTGTGTCATAGCGAGTCAAGTTTTTGGCGCCATTGTCGGGGACTTTCTAGATTATTAGGAAAGGTAGAAGTTTGTTATTTTAGCGTTTTTCTTTTCCACCCTTGCTTTTCACTTGGGTGTTTTTGTTTTTGTTGGTGCAGATCTGAATCATGGACCCTCATGGCTTCTCCAATCATTGAGGGTATCCACGACCATCCGAGTGGTATTACCCCGAGATTCCCTGGAGCAATCAAAGAGGAGAAGACTATGGATTCGGATTCTAGTACCAAACCCCTTACTACGGTGAACAATCAGACCCCTGGGCATATCAAGAAGAACCTCATTATCAAGAAGAATTTCTCCCACAACCAGAAGGGCCATCGGAGCTGGAGTTACCCATGGCGGCCTTTACGGGTCGTTCTGCGGAGCCATGCTACACTCCACAGCCAGATCCTACCCCAAAATCATATCATTGAAGCCCAAACAAAGTATCCTAGCATCATACATGAAATGATGCATGATAGACCATTGATTGCACATGTTTTTACCCCTATTCTTCAGCCGTTTGAGATGTTGATTCTCGTGGTTTAAGCCGATTTCATGCTAGGTTTTGTGTTTATGTCATATTTCAGGGCTTGGCGTTGGCATTGAGACGAAGAAACGAGGTTCGGGTCGAAAGGAGCACGTTTGAGTTGAAGTGTGTTGGAGGAGCAAAATACCCGACCATGAGCAAAAATACCCGGCCGGGTACTAATCTGCGCAGACCAGGGAAAATCTCTTTTGGGCGTTTGAGAAGCAGAAGGGGGCCCGGGCATTGACAATAAATCCCCAGTCTGGTATTCTTCACCTTGACCGGGGATTAATCCCCTGTCCTCAACGGTGCGTTTCAACAATCCCGGGTCGCCACCTAAAATACCCGACCGGGTACAATGACCGGGGATCGCAAACGCAGGCTGTTAAAAGCCTGTTTTGTGCGTTTTTGTAAAGGGAGAGCTGGGTTTTGGATCCCAAACACCCAAGGGACGAACCAAAGAGAGAGAGGGCGATTTGAGGGCATTCTTGGAGTGGAACTGGAGGATTTATTCGCCTTGGAAGCTCGAGGAACAAGCCCGGACTTGAAGACTGATCATCTGAAGA